TAGCCGTAAATAAAATGATCCACATGATGACCTTTCACCTGACGATCTCATCCGGGACGATCAGATCCCTTTAGTAATTTAGCACACTACCAGGATGCCTTCAATAACGGCCGTGGCTGCCAGATAGTGGAGATCTCAGCAGAGCGGTGTGCTAGTATACTTATATCATTCAATTATTCATATTTTACAAGAACGGCATGAAGAGAGCGTGCACAGCTGTTGTTTATATTGCTGTGTGTAGCCTGTGGAAGTAACGTTAGCTGCAGCAATGGGCAATAATATTTTTGTTCAATATTTTCCTAATGACAATTTTGGTTTATAAAGGCTCCTACGAACAACTTTTTCCCATTTTTATCACAGAATAAGGCACGAAATATATTTTATTGTTTCTATTAAATGATATGTCAATCAGTACTGCATTTTATATATGCTCATGTTGCATATCATATCTTCTTTATACGCATTTTTGCAGAGTTGCGCATTAAGCCAATCACAGAGGATTGTTGAGCTTATGAATGCAATTTCCAATCAGAAGCGTTCAGATGAGTCATCGTGAAACGCTGCGGACTGTTCAGTGCACGTGCTCTGCTGACTGAATTCTGCACTCACCGCCCCTGAATTACACTAACATTAGGCTCCTTTTAGCCTTACCCTGGAGTTGGTTCACCCTCCGCCTATAGGAGAAAAAGGCTCAAATGTCTTATACTCAAGTATAGCACCTCAAGAGAATTAAATAAGTTATTCAGTGAATAGTTAAAACATGCAAGTTTTTTTTTACCTTAGAATATAATTTTCTGATAGTAGGCTACACTGACTTCTAAGGCTACGTCCACACGAAGCCAGAGTACCGAAGCTTGCGCGCGGTATACGAACGAACATGGAACAATACATTTATTAATCTGTGTTAATGTTAGTTAATAAAAAGACAATCGTTCAATGTTTGTTCATGTTTTTGTTGCTGTTACGTGACGTAGCGGTGTCTCACTAGGGGCGAGATGTGGGCTGATGACGTCATCGTTTCAGAAAATATACGGATTCGCTGTCCACACGAAAACGCAAGGGTGGCGTTTTCAGATTTATCCACTCTGGGACCCGGTTTAAAAAAATATCGGTTTCACTCTCCCAAAACGCCTGATCCGTGTGGACGAAACGCCTATACGATACAAAA